TGAGGGGATGGCGGGGACGTCTGGGTGTTCCCCAGCCGGCCCTGGGCTGAGAGGATGCTTCCCATCGGCTTGCATCGCCATCACCAGCTGCATGGAGACCTTGTCCTCCCCCTCCCTGGAGCACGTGTGCGCGGACACGTGTGGGATGGCCGGACATCACTGCAGGGTGTCGGGGGTGCAACCGCAGCCGTGCCTCGCTTGCAAAGGAGCACGGCTGGCTTTTGGCATTTTGGATAAGCTCCTTGGCTTGCCAGACCTGCAGAATCTCCCTGCCCATTGCCGGCAGTACTGGTAGGGGCACCCTGGCCCCAGTGTCCCCAAAATAAGGAAATAAGGAGTTTGACAGCAGATACTTCTTAGGGGGCCTGTAAGGTATCAGCCGTGATAGCGGTGTGATGGGAGAGGGTGAGCAGGGGTGGCTGTACGAAGGAGCGTGTATTCGGGGATGGCTCTGATCCCGGCTGGGAAGATTTGGTGATTTTTCTGGGTACAACCCAGCCCTTCGGCCTCTGGCTGGGGATGCTCAAGCCCATTTTTCCCTTCTTTCGTTGTAAACCACTATTTTTGGCTTCCCCATCCCATTTCTCCAAGCGTTCAAGGGTGCTTCAAAACTCCTGTCTGATCCATCTCTCTGAGCAACCAAGGAGCTTCTGGAGGGGAGAGGAAGGGTTCCCTCCTGATTTAAACCTCAGAAAGAGCTTTTTATTATCGGGTGTGCAGCCTGGCGTGTTACTTTTCCCGATGGCTGTGGTTCTGTGGGCGCGGCGGCTCCTGTGCCGGTTGGTACAAATCACTGCCTGGAGAATTTTTTTCCTCCCTCTCCGGACCCTGAGTTGAAAGGCTCCTGTTTTATTTACTGATGAATTCAATCAATTATCATAGCGTATAATTCGCTAAGCTGCTTTCCCAGATGCGGTGACGCTGCCGTGAGGGAGAGGGGAAAAGCCACCTCTCCAGGCCAAATTTTTCATCTAAACAAACAGCTTTTTTTCTGATCTTCCCCTCACCAGAAAAAAAAAAGAAACACCCCAAGCAACTGGGGGTTTTTGCCATTTATTTCAGACCTGTGATTGCTAAAATAATTATGAGCTGTTTGAGTAAGCACTGTGGCCTGTGCAGCCCTTCGGTGTCACCTGGGCTTGGGGACTGGGATGGCAAAGGGACCCAGGAGTCCTCGCTCCTGGGTCCTGCTGTCTGACAGCAAACCATCTCTGCTGAGGGTTTTTGGCAACACTGTGGGGCTGTTTCCAGCTTTTCCCTGGATAAAAGATGTATTTAAAGCCTGGCGTGTCCCCTCTGCATGGGGACGGGGTGCCATGGGCCACGCAGAGCTCACCCCTGCCCCAGAGCAGCGATTGCTGCTTTATCACCAGAAGTGCACACTCAGCTTTTGCTGGAAGCTGAATGCAGCAGAAATGCTCCTTATCAGCCCAATTTCCACTCCAGCCCGCAAAAATGCTCCCCAGCATGCGCCTGCCCTAGGACAAGGGTTTATGGCCCCGGGGAGGCTGGTCCTGGTGTGGGCGTGGGGGGATCACGTGAGCCGGGATGGCTGCACAGAGAAGCCCGAGCTGGACCATGTGTTTCCCCCATCCCCAGCACTGGGTGGCTCGGTGGGGCTGGAGGTGGATGGGAAGGGGATGGAGAGGTGGTTTCCACCATAGGATCTCCTCAGGCTCCATCCCCTGGGCTGGGACCAGTACCAGCCACCCGAGGATGCGCTATGATACTGCAAGGTCCTGAAAATGCAGTGTGCTGAAGGCAGCCGCTGACTCTGGGCCCCTAAATGATGCCCATGCCTTGGGAGGGTCGTAAATAAATGCAAGACCCTGACAGTCAGCCCCTGGGGAGCCCCTGGCCACAGGGCAGGAGATGTGCCCAGTGCCAGGCACATGGCCAGGAGCATCACGGGGCAAGAAGTGAAAGCCTGGCCAGAAATCATTCCTTCTCCTTCATCCCCCCATCCTTTGTCCT